ATATATATATATATATATATATATATATATATATATATATATATATATATATATATATATATATATATATATATATATATATATATATACAAAATATAAATAAAGCTAAGTAGCTAATTTTTTAAATTAATTATAATTTAACAAGCAATATGGTTTGCAATAAAAATTCGCATTTTACCATCTACCAGAACTTTAAATTGATTTATTTTTTGCCGTTTACTAAAATAAATTAAAGTATAAAGGCTAAGGATCAAGTTTAGAAATTATTGGATGTCATTAGACCTGCCACGACCCGTATCGTACGGGTCATACCAGCTACACGATTTTTTTTGTATAAGCAACTTATTTAAAAGCAACTGAACTCGATGGGAAAAAATATTAAGCAACTTCAGTTCTGATCACAAGTTAACATAAGCAACTCATAAATTGCAATTTTTTTCTCTGCAATGTAATGACTTCTTTTAGATTAACGATTTCAAAATAAAGTAATCACTGTAGTGATGTTGTTGAGTATGTTGTTGACAACGATGTTAAGACCACGAGTAAGAGAAAGCAGACAGATTTGTTCAACTTTGGTTTTACCAAAAAGATTTGTCATCGTGGTGAGTTGGTAAATGTAGTGCCAAAGGAAAAAAAAGATAATTTGTTTGAATGTATTGTTTGCAAAAAATCACGACGGACCTGTACTCGGCGCACCCTAAACTCGGTGAAGTTCGTAAGCGAACTCAGTAAAGTTCGAAACAATAATTTTGCCGTTTAATGATTGGCTTATATTAACGAATGAAAATTTAGCACAAAAGTTTTAGTTCGCGCTTCAAAAGCCAAATTTTTACCGCCTTTAAAATAAGTAAGATGACACCTTTAGCTGAGTTTATTGAAAGTATCAAAGAAGAAAAGTTGGTTGATTTTTTGCAACAAAAAAGGCTAATGCCACTTCAAAAACTTTGTCTATGTGGTCAAAGGATGCTTGTGCAAAATTATGAACGTTGTCAAGTATGAATACTTAACATTTTTAATATTATTTACACAAAACAGATTATCCCTTGTATCTTTAAAATACTTTATTTAAGGAAAAACATATTTGGCGATATAACACTTGCAAAAAGACGAAGTCAATTCGAGCAGGATTTTTTGAAAGCTCTACATCTTTAAGTGTAAGTCTGATACTTCAATTAATGTTTTTATGGATCCTGGAGGTTCCTGTAACCGCTGCATGAAGCTGCAGATGAAGCTGTATACAGAGAATATTATGATTTTTATAATAAAAATGTTTGGGAAAATTTTTCTTTATTCTTAAAACATATTAATGATAGGTATCCTCTGTAATGTAAAATAAGTATTATAATATAATATTTACATTAAAAATGTATCATAATATTTATATTGTTTTTTTTTATGTACAACACAAAATATACGTTGCAAAAACTAAAAGAAGATAAGCCACAAAAAGAAATCTTAAGTAGAGAAGATACCTTTAGAGGATCTATTTAATCTAATATTTAATGTATATATGTTGATAATTTGTAAAATTTAATTTTTTTTTAAATGTTAAATTTTTATTAAAATGCATTTACGACAAGTTTTTGTTTTTTTATTTTTGACGTTACCATTATGGCGCGAATTAACGTAATATTTTAGCGCCTATTCTGTAAAATACCAAAAGCGAACACCGAGAATATTCGTTCCGAGAATTAACGAACTTCACCGAGTTTAGGGTGCGCCGTGTACAGGTCCGCCAAAATCACTGAAAACATCACAAGCCCTTTCGATGCACGAGTTTTGGTGTAAAAATAAGTTATCACATACGGATATTGCTCAAACTGACAAAGACCCGAAATCAATGAGCTTGGATCAAATCATTGATGGAAAGAACAAGTACAATAATATTTTGAAAAAACTGTGAACTAGGTTTTAGAGAAGCTTGTTACTGATGTTGAAGCTAACAAATTACCAAAAGTTGCTGACAAACGGAAGAGCTATACGTCAAAAGAAAAGGTTGATGCGCTAAATGACTTAAACGATGGTATGTTAAGTAGGGATGTAGCAAAAAAGTATTACGTTCATAAGAGTATGATTACGCGATGGAAATCAAAGGAAAAAGAAATTTTCAACAAGTACAACGAAAAAAAGAAAAACACCTTATTCAGGAAATGCCGAAGAGGCGACAAACACAAAGCTTTGTTTAACAAACTTTATGACAAATTCTCCGAAGCAAGAAAAAAGGGGCTAAAATTTAACTTTGAGTGGTTTAAAAATTACCTACAGCAAAGCCCTAATGCTGACAGATTGCCAAAATCAATAGCCACTCATTTCTTAAGGAAAAAAAAAGATCCGCATGCTGTGTGTTCAACGTAAGCGCCAAGCTGACGCAAAGAAGCAAACCCCAATTCTGATGAAATGGCATTCAAATTTGAGAGAAAAGTTGATTAAGTCTGGAAGTGACAAACCCACATACGATAAAAAATGCGGGCGTTTCCCACTGAAAAAGAGAATCAATGTAGATCAAATTCCACTCCCGTTTGTAGTCGAGAGCAAACGAACATACAAAATTCCAATGAGTAAGGGAAAGGAACGAAGGGACCACAGAGTATGTGTAGCTCAACCTGGCAGTGGGCTTGTTAAACGACAAGCTACCCTTCAAATATGTTTCAGTCCTGAAGGAATGGTGAAGCCGGCGTTGATTTTCAGAAGTAAGGGGAAAAGGATTAGTCAAGATGAAGTTTTAGCCTATGAAACTAGTGTAGATGTGTATTGGCAACCAAATGCATGGGCAGATACAGCGTTTTCCGTGAAATGGGTGAAGAACACTCTCTCCAATGATGTCGCTAACCTGGATGAGTATGTTTTGTTCTGCGATAACCTGATAGCCCAAGTCAGTGATGAGTTTTTGAATGAAGCGCGACAACATAAAGGTATTGTCTGGTTTGGTGTTCCCAACGGGACACATTTTTGGCAACCTGTTGATGCCGGGCCAGTAAAAGCATTTAAATTACATATTAAAGCTGAACAAAACATCTGGCTTGACAAATGATGAGAGCATCGAACTCTGGCTTGGCAGCGATGATCGGAAACTGTCAGCAAAAGATCGCCGCATTTTGATAACTCGTTGGGTTGGTGAAGCTTACCGTAAAACATCCAAAGACGAGAAATTTCTTCGTATGCTTTACAGGAGCTTTGCGAAAACAGGTCTCATCACAGCTGATGGTAGCGAGAACAATAAAATAAATCCTGAAGGCATGCCTGCTTATGTTGTTCCACCCCCTGTTGACATTAACAACCTGGTGGAAATCACAGAGACTCCTATTCCAGACGAAGTAAGGATAACCCTATTGATGTTTTGCCTGACGAATCAGGCGGAGAAGACAAGGAACTAGATGGACAAGTAGAAAAATCAGACGGACAAGAATACAAAGAAAGTGGAGATGAAGAAAATAAAGATCCAGCAGAAGAGAGAAACATTTGTGATCTTTTTTTTAATTAGAGTTTAAGTTATTTTAGTTGTAAAGAGCACTCTTCTGTTAAAGACTTGATATTAAACCGTATTTTGTCTCTTATTCGTAAAAACACTGAAATTTAGGCTAAGAAACTTAAGCAACCATTAAGCAACTCGAGATATAGAAATTGGCTGAAAAATAAGCAACTCGAGTTCTGACCAAAATTCTAAGTTGCTTACACAAAAAAAATCGTGTAGTTATAGAAATATTCACTGTGTTATTTATAAGATAATTCAAAATATAAATAATTTAAACATTTTTACATATAAAACCTTATATTATAACTTACACTATAAATTATTTGTAATATGAATAATACATTATTATTTATAACGTATAGAAAATGTAAATTATTTATGTATTTATAAATAATATGTAAAGTGTATATATGGCAGTGCTACTTAGTAAAACCTTACTATATTTTGTAAAGTGACATTAAGATTTGCTTGAAAAAGGTAATTTAAAACAAAACACACAATTTTATTTGTGTACAACGTATAATAAGGGGCCATCCATAAAGTACGTACGCAGGTATGGAGGCAGGGGGTTTTCCAAAAGTGTACGAACGTGTACAAGGGGAGGGAGGGACTGTTATAGTCAATGAGTATGAACACGGTTTGACGTATCTTACTTTAACTTCATTTTTTTTATAAAAAGCATTGAATTTCACGTGTGTAACAAATCATAATAGCTTTTTTTTTGACTTCAGAAACAATTTTTTATTTTTATTTTTTATAAGCAATGAGGAGACAAAAAAGAAATTGAGTTAATTTTGAAAAAAAACAGTGTGTACGTACTCGGAGGAGGGTTCTTTGTAAGCGTACAGGTTCGTTCTAAGGGGAGGGGGTCCTTAATTAGTGGGTTTACTGCTTACGTACTTTATGGATGCCCCCTAATATACCACTTATGTAATTATAACAATATATAAGTTAAAGTGTGTTTCGTTTTCTTAACTTAGTGACTAAGCCATAACTGTAAGCAAACCTAACCATATAAACTAATTTGAAAAGTTTTCAACATTTGTCTATTGCATAAAAAAATAAAAAATATGCCTTCAGTTTAATAAAACATTTTACAAGTCTGTAAAATGAATGTCTAAATATTGCTATTAAAATATTTATACTTTTATTATAGAATTAAAACTGATGTAAATAATCATTTTTTACAAAAATACGAAAAATAAACGAATTAAGTTCCAGTTCACTCCAAATGCAAGAGTATTTTCAATTTAAATCAAGTTAGTAGTAAGAGATTGCCGGTTCTAGGCCATTTTCATTTTCAACCATATTTTCAACCATATATTTTAAAAAATATAGGATTTATTTCTAACCATGATGTGAATAATTATTTATATAAGAAATAATTTTTCAAATTTATATAAATTTGAAAAAATTAAATTTTTTAAAATAAGTGTTAATTTTTTATTTCTTGTCGAAAAATGTCACGTGATTTTCTTGCATGACGTCACAGGTCATGTGACTTTTCTTGCTGTTTCTAAAAGCGTTATCAACTGTATCTATATCCTATTGAACGTAAATATTCAAATGCTTCAAGGTAACCAGCTAATTTAGCATGAAAAATTGCTTTTTCCGTACCTTTATATCCAATAGAATGTAAATCTATTAATACTTTAAGAAGTTGTTTAGCATTTTTTCCTTTACGTTCAGCATCATTAATTATCCATTCATCACATTCATATCCTAATTCAATTAAATATTTTACTACTTCAAGGTGATCATTCATTGCAGCACAATAAACTGCATCTTTTCCTTTATAACCTAATGAATGTAAATATTTAACTACTTCAAGGTGACCATTTTCTGCAGCACAAGTAATTGTCCATTCTTTTACTCTATATCCTATTGAACGTAAATATTTTACTACTTTAAGATGACCATTTTCTGCAGCATAATTAATTGTCCATTCTTCTCCTTTATATCCAATAGAATGTAAATACTTTACTACTTCAAGATGACCATTTATTGCAGCACAAGTAATTGTCCATTCTTTTCCTCTATATCCTAATTCATGTAAATATTTTACTACATCAAGATGACCATTTTTTGCAGCACAAGTAATTGCCGATTTTGTTCCTCTATATCCTATTGAATGTAAATATTTTAGTACATCTTTTGTACTTTTTTTACCTAATTGAATTAATAATTTAATTAAATCATGTTTACCTATACTTACAGCAAAATCAACCTTATTACCTTTTTTATACCCATAGTTTTTTAATATTGTAGTAATATAATATATTTGAGATGAAGGTTCAATTATGTTTTTTATTAAAAAATTATTATTCTCAATATTATTTTCTAGATTCATTCTTTTTTATATACACAAGAAAATTATTTAAATCATTTTTCTTGTTTTAATGCGCATGTGCTAAGATTTACTTAAGCATAGTAGTAGAATTGTCTTAACAATATTATATAGAGTCTCTTATAGCGTATAATTCTAGTTCTGTTGCTACAAATGGAAGAGTACTATTTTGTATATAATTATCAAATATAGGCATAGCAGGTTGTCCATTATATACATAGTTCATATTTTGACATACAGGTGCCCAATAACCACCACTTGTATCTAGTGTAAGTACTGCTCCAGAATTCATCAAGCTTTTTGTAGTTGTCAAATTTAAACCGCAAAATCCTTGTCCTAATTCTGTACATCCAAATGGTGTATCTGTTGATATGAGTTGTGCAACATTTTGGTAAGCCATAGACATCATTGGAAGGAATGCTTGTTTAAATATAATACTATTCCATACACCATTAATTTTATATTTAAGTCTATATTTATAATAGCCATCTTTGTTTTTATACTGCCAATTAGTAAATAATGTACTATATAATTGAGAAGTAGATGGAGTAGAATTAAATACTCTATAGGCGCTATAATAATTGTTAAGAAATAAATATCCAGCAACTTGTCTAACTAATAATACTTCTCCAGAATTATATGGTGTTCCATAGCCACCACCATATATATTATTCATTGCAATTGGTATTGCTTCAAAAAATTTGTTTGCTAAAAATATTTGTTGTCTTGAATCATAATGTACTCCATCGAAATTTGCACTCCTAAGACTGGGAGGCATACCATCTAGAGATATACTAGCTGTATATGGAGAAAAATTTATAATATTTTTTAATGCATCTTGAACTTGAGTTGCTGTAGTTGAGTTTGCTTGAACCCATGAAGATAGCATTTGAAATGTAATGAATAGCATTTTATTTGCTTTTATTTGTGAGATTGGCAATGTATCAAATTGGCTTGATGAGTATGCAATATAATCTCTAATGGTTTGTATAAAATTCATTAGAATATATGCATAGTTATCACACCAACCGGTTTTAGAATCATCTTCTCCTTGACTCCAAGTCATACAGTAAAACTCTGCGTTATAATGTGATGAAATGTAATTGATTTTACGAGTTAAATTTTTAAAACCAGTTCCATACGGCATAAAATAATCATTACTGAAACTTTTAGCAGTTAGCATGCATGGAAGTATCATTAAACATTCATCAGGATTTATCATATTTAATGTATTCGCACCTTCAGCATCTTGCATTATAAGCCCAGCAAGTATTGAACCATATCCTGCCCAACAATTATTATCTGTTTCATTTACATCTAGTCTCAATGAACAAGGAAGTAACACATCATTTTGTCCATTACCCATCGCAAATTGGACTATTCGTCTGTTCATATAATTTACATTAGTTATTGATTGAGATAAACCCCATTCTCTACCAGCATATGTATTTGATTGACCAGCTATAATCAAAACTTTATATTTATGTTGATAAGGAATTAAGCGATCTACATAATTCTTTGTAGCTGCATCCTGTGCATTAGTAGGATTAGCTACATTAATCAATTTATTTGAATTCAAATTAATATTTGCATTCATACTATTAGTTCCATCTATTTTTAGATAGGAACTGCTAGAAGTTTGATTATTATCTACATAATACTTTGTAGCTGCATCCTGTGCATTAGTAGGATTAGCTACATTAATCAATTTATTTGAATTCAAATTAATATTTGCATTCATACTATTAGTTCCATCTAATTTTAGACATACACTGCTAGAAGTTTGATTATTATCTACATAATACTTTGTAGCTGCATCTTGTGCATCTGTAGGATCAGCTACATTGATCAATTTATGTGAATTCAAATCAACATCAGTAGTGGCTGTATTGCCAACATTAATGTTGATATTTAATCCATCTGTTGTGTAACCATATAATGAATTACTACCAGCTATATTCATACTCATTTTTTATATACTATACATATTTTTTTTAATTCAATATAATGAGTTTTCAATACTTTGAAAATCAACACCTTCATCAAGCTTTTTTAATACATAAAGGCACAAGTGTCCGCAAAAAGAAGTGTCTCCAAACTGAATTCTTTTACTATTATAATAAACAGGACTGTGTAAATATTGAACAAGTTCAACTGGAGGTGGTAGTGCATAAGAGTCAAAACTTAATTTTTCTTCTCCATCTTTATACCAACAAATCCAATGAAATCCATTCGTACTTGAATCTCCAGTATTTAATATTCCACATTCTTTGTTTTGTGTATTTTTAGGTAATTCATCTCTTACAAATACACCTCTAAAATTTTTAATTTTTAATTTTTTTGCTGCTTTTATTAATTGAAAGTTTCTTAAGGGTACATTTGGCAATATAATTCCTTCAACATTGATATGTTTGTCCATTTTTTTTACTTTATTAGATTTTTTTAGATCTCTTTAGATATAAAAAATAACTTACCTGTGTGTTTGCCTGCCTGCTTGCCTGTTTATTTAAGTTTATAATGTCCATATGCTAATGTGTGAATACCATCTTCTTGAATTACTCTTTTATCATCTTCTGCACTCAATGCTATTTTGTTTATTTCTTCAGTATAAACATCATGACAATGAGATCTTATGACATTCATTTTTCTCATTTGATCTCTCCTGCTAAGCAGGCAGTCTTTATAATCCTCATGTGTAATATAATTTTTTACTACATTTCTCTTTACTCCTTTACATCTCTTTTTATCTTCTTCATCTATTTTGTAAGAATACAATTTTGATCTGAGTCCTATAAATTCTGTAATTTGTTTTCCTGCTGACTCATCTTTAAACATTCCTATTACTTTCTTATTTACACCTACTTTAAATCCATTTTGAATAGCTGGATGCTCTTTATTAAATTCACTTGTATCAAATTTACTTTCAATATCATTTGCAATATCTGCATAAAAGTCTTTTGTTTTTATTTCATAGATTAATGAATCTGTATCTGTATATAATAGTTTAGCTTTATCTCCATATTTATTTTTTATGTAATCATAATGAAATTCATACATTAAAGTCTTGCTCAAATCTAAAATACACATGCCTAAATAAATAGGCTTATTATATACAAGTTTTGTTCTTTTCATATGTATTGCAATTAAATTTTCATCAAATATTGTACTACTTTCATAGTTAGGTTTTGATGCTAATTTTATAGCTTCTTCTCTTTTTGTAACTAATCTCACATCAACTCTGTTTTCAATGTTCTCCATTGTCTTTCCAAATACTGAGTTATTCATAAGTTTGAAAAAGTCTTTTTCAAAATCATTTGTTGCTTTAGTTCTTAAATCTGTATTGAGTTTAATGTATTTACTTAACCATGCACTTTCTTCAAACTTTATTCCTCTATGAATTTTAGTAATCTTTAATCCTAACCTTTCATAAAGTTTAAGATTTTCATAGTGTATGATATAATTTTTCTTATGATTTAAATTAGGTATTAATTTATCAACTTTGTCTATTTTTAATCTTTCAGGAGCTAGAGGATAATCATTATGAACATCATGTAAATGTTCAGGATATTCTAAATCTACTTCTAACATGCAAGAAGTAAATTTCCGATTTTTTAATTCTTCTTCATTCATCCATTTAAATCCATGTGTTGGAAGGGGTTTACTCATAGCCCACCCATATAAATTATTTGCATCTAGATACTGTATGTAAGTAGATTCTTTACTTTCATCATAATTTTCCATATATTTATTGTTAGCAGTTCCTAATCTGTTAGAAACTATACTAATTCCACCTTTTATTCCTTCCTTTATCATTAAGATCATATCATAATCACTTAATAATTCTAATTTTACTTCTGTTATTTTCAACGCAGCATCCCAAGCTAATCCTGGTGCTGTATAGTACCAAGCAGGATCTAATTTGTAATTGTTAAAACAGACATCTCTAAAATTTTCAAAGACATCAGCTAGTAGTAATACATCAGATTCGTTATATAAATTATGGTAATCTCTAAATGTTTCACAATTAAACTCTTTCCATACATTTTGAGCATGTAAATAATCTTCATCACTTATTCCTTCATCATTTAATCTTGAATAAAATGATTCTTTTGGTGGTAATTGTGTTTCATTTAATTTATCAATAGAGTCAACCCATTCATAAGGATAAACACCTTTTCTTAACAATAAATTGAGTTCATTTCCAGAATAGTATCTACTAATATTTTTACATTGATCTTTTGACAAATTTTTAGTTAAACTATCTAAACTAGCAGCCATAAATTTAAAACTATCTAGAAAACGTAGATACAGTTTAACTTCAACTTTTTTACCTTCTCTATTCATAAATTCATTTACTTTGAGTTCTTTAGAAAAGCTGATATATTTTTCTTCATTGTTGGGTATACAATTTATTTTTCCTCCTTCTGACAATTTCTTTATGAACAAGTGAGAGTCATAACCAGATAAATTGTGAAATAGTACTGGAATGAATTTTGGATTTTTAAATTGTAAGTTACACTCATTATGTGCAGCACCTCTATATTTTCTAGTAATATGACAATGATCTTTTACTTTATCTTCATTAAGATCTTTTTCACAAATGTGACATATTTTTGCATTGTTAAATTCTTCTTTGTCTTTACAAGTAAATATTATATCTTTTGGAAATTTTAAATAATCATTGTAAATCTTTTTAATATCAGCTTCTAAATTATTAAGCTTCTAAATTATTAAATTAAAAATTAATTAATATCAGCTTCTAAATTAATATGTGCTATTATACATATTACATCTTCATCTTCATTACTTGCAGTGAATGTAACTAGTTTACTTTGATATATTTTTTCATCAAAGCATTTAATATAGTAACAAAATGAACTAGGTGTATGCTTTTGGTACTGCT